CTGTCAATTCTATTTTTCCCTGAGCTAATGCCCGGGAAAGAGAGGAATCTAGAACTGGATTTACCTCTCTGTCCAGAGCTTGACTCTGGAAAGGAAACTGAATGAGAGGGAGTTGTAAACCCCTTTTGAAAAACTGAAGCACCCATTTGTCTGACCAATTTTTCAGGGATGTGAGGTAAACCACTTACTTGACTGCATGGGTCTTCAGTTTCCTGATGAGCCACGTCTGGTATGGGCTCCTCTGCTACTCCCTAGGGGTCTTGACTTCCTCCCATGGTGACGAAAGTGGGCTTGCTGAGTAACTTCCCTGGACGAACCTTTAGCCCTGTAGGAATGACCCTCGGTCCAAAAGGGCTTCTTGTAGCTTGGAAAGCTCTTCTTTAAATCAGAGAAAGATCTCCTAGCCTTATATCGTCCTTTTACCTCTTGTAAAAGGGACCAAATAGAAAGGAGTTTTCGAAATTAGGGAATTCATGCGATTTAGGTGCCAAATCAGACATCCCTGCTGCATGCAGCCAGTGGGTTCTGCGAATGTTAGAAATATAGTTGAAGGATTGACCGATCATAAGCACCACTCTGCTGGAAGCTTTTAGAAGTGCATCTTAGAAGCCAGTAAAGCTGGTAGGGAAGGGTTATGAGAGGATTCCTCTTTCTCTGCCCTATTCAACATAAGCAGCAAGGGACCAACAGCATCCGCATTGCGAAATGTCTGATCCATGGGAGGAGATCATCCTCTTTAACTAGTTGGGATCTGAAAGCTAGTTAGGCAAAATCCCTGACCTCTGATTCTTGTTCGATGGCCCATCTTGAATGGAATAATTTTGAAGTTAGCACTTTACCTAAAAGGCTCACTCTGTCCATCTGAATGTTGCTCAACTTTTCTCATTCAGTGGAAGCTGCAGAGCGAACCACCTCCTCGCACTCCCAATCAATCTCCGGTGATCCCTGTCTGGAACAGGACCAGCTTAAGGAGGATGAATGACAAAATGCTCTTGAGGTGGGTGGTGAGGGACTGACAGCACTCAAACGAGTCTTGTCCCTTTTGTGTGAAAACTACTTTTAAAAAAAACCTAAAACGAGGGAAAAACACATTTCGCTTTTGGAGGTACTGTCCCTTTAAAATGTTGACTACTCAAACGAGAATGAGGGGAAGAGGGACCAAAATCAAGTTCATCCTCAGAACTTGAAGCGGAAAGGCAAGCCTTTTTTTTTCCCTTTTACTAACTGGGACTATATCCTTCTCAGAAGATGAAGAGGGTAGGCCCCTGGCAAGGAAGGCTCTCTTTTGGAGCCTTCTGACGCTGATGGGGCCACTGGCGGATCCAGAGTCTTATCTCGGGAGGGGCACTCATAGATTATTTAAAGAAACAATCCAGCACAATAACCACTACAGCTCTCTGTAGTGGTTATGGTACCAGGAGTGCTGTGGCGCCCTCCCAGAATAAATAGTCAAACTGTTTAAGAACAGTTTGACAATTTACCTGGGGTCTGCCAGGATAGGTGCTGTAGTAGGGGATAGGGCCTCTAGTAGTGTGTGTGTGTGTGTGTGTGTGTGTATGGGAGGCACTGAGTGTGTTAAGAATTCAGGGTTGGTATGGGAGGCAGTGTGTGAGGGGTGCAGAGTATGTTGGTGTGTACGGGAAGCAATGCATGTGGGACAGTGTGTGTATAGGGGTGCAGTGGGAGCATTGTGTGTAGGAGGGGCAGTGTGTGTTTGTGTGAGGGGTGTAGTGTGTGCATGGGAGTGCAGTGTGTATATGTGGGGTGCAGTGGAAGCACTGTGTGTAGGAGGGGCAGTGTGTGTTTGTGTGAGGGGTGTAGTGTGTGCATGGGAGTACAGTGTGTATATGTGGGGTGCAGTGGAAGCACTTTGTGTATGGGACCAGTGTGTGTCTGACGGTGTAGTGGGGGCAGTGTGTGTATGGGAGTGCAGTTGGGGAAGTGTGTGTATGGGGGTGCAGTGTTTTGTGTGGGGGAGCACTGTGTGAATGTGGGTGCAGTGTGTGTGTGGGGGGGAGACGTGGGTGGGGGTGAGAAGTGTGTGGGGGAGCAATGTGTGTATGGGGGAGAAGTGTGTGTGCAGTGTGTATGGAGGAGAAGTGTGTGTGTATGGGGGGCTGTGGGGGCAGTGTGTTTGGTGGGGCAGTGTGTATATGGGGGCTGAGGGGGCAGTGTAAAACAAATGTTTTTTGTTTTTAATTTAAAAAATATTATTTATAATCCCCCCTCCTTTCTTACCTTTGCCCAGGGAGGGGGGATATTGCTTGTAATCCCTGGTGGTTCTAGTGGGGAGTGAACTCCAGCCTGCACCTCCTGAGGCTATAGTTCACTCTCGTGAGAACGGAGCATTGCCGTGGTAACTGCAGCAACGCTCCATGCTTGCAAGAGGAGACCCGGCGGAGCTGCAGGCTGAGCTCCTCCCGGGTTTCCTCTCTCCGTCCTGGCTGCCCAGCAATGTGCCTACAGACCGGTAAGGGAGATCTCTGATCTCCCCCCCGCTCCGTGAGGGCACTTAGCAGGGCCGGCGCTTGGACAGCACCGGCTCTGCAGGAGAGAGCATCGGCTCTCGTGAGTGGGGGGGCAGTCCCCCGGATCCGCCACTGGATGGGGCTGTCTCACCGAAAGGGAGTCCTCCAACAACGTTGCCATTTTAAAATCTGAGGTGATCAGGGCTGCCGCGAGCTGGACGACTGTTCTGATCACCTGGTTGGCTAAAACGCTGTTGCTGTGCAGGAGCACAGTACGAGCGTTTTTTAGCACAGCAAAATATTTCTCCAGGAGGCTGTCACATAACCACTAGCTTTGTCCTGGAGGGACAAATATGTATGGCTTTGTGCTGTTTATTCTTTCATCAGTTCTTTACATTGTACATAATCATTTAGTGCATAACATATTACGCAAATATACTTTTTTAAAGGCCACGTCATAAATATACAAATCCTCATTTAGTATGAAAAATACATTTTAAAAAATACACTTTTCACAAACTGATTATAAACATAAGAATCATGTTTGTTCTGATTTGAGGAATGTGTCACACCTAGGATTTTCACTTTTTTTTTTTTTGCATTTTACACTACACACCGCCCATTTTACAAACCTGACCTTACCCTCTGAAACAATGTTTTATAGTAGATTGCCATGAGTGTGAATGTGAGTATGTAATTATTTGTGTAGTAAGGCTGTGTGAGTGAATATCGGAGTCAGGGCCAGACTGGGAAAGAAATTTTGCCCGGACATTTTTGAGTCACAGCGGCCAACTGAGAAGGGGACGGGGCCAGAAAGGGGGTGCTTTGTCATCACCAATGACAAGCACGTCCCCTCTCAAAGTGAGCATGTTGGTTCAATGCTCTTAAAAGGGTGCAATGTGTGTGTGTGAATAGTGCAGTGTGTGTGCGTGTGTGTGTGTGTGTGTAATGGGTGCACTGTGTGTGAAGGCTGCAGTGTGTGTGTGAAAGGTGCAGTGTGTATGAACAGTGCAGTGTGTGTGGATGAAGGGGGCGGTGTGAGGAGTGCAGTGTCTGAATGGTGTAGTTAGTGTGTGTGTTTGGTGTGCAGTGAGGGAAAGAGGAGTGCAGTGTGTGTGAGAGGGGTGCAGTGTGTGTGAAGAATGCAGTGTGTGTGTGTGATTGCGGTTTGTGTGTGTATGAAGGGAACATTGTGTGAGGAGTGTAGTTTGTGTGTTTGGTGTGGTGCAGTGTGTATGTGTGAAAGGTGCAGTGTGTCAGGAGTGAAGTGTGTGAAGGGTGTAGTTAGTGTGTGTGTGTGTGTGTGTTTGGTGTGCAGTGGGGGGGAAGATGAAAGTAACACATAAATATGTTTGTTTAATTTAAAAAATAAATAAAAAATCTATACTTTATATTACCCTTCTCCCATCTTACCTTTGACTGGCAATTCCTTGTGGTTGTAGTGGAAGTGAATTCCTGGTGGTCGTAGTGGTGAGTTGACTGTCGTGAGATCGGAGCGTTGCAATGGTAACTGCAGCACCGCTTTTGATCTCGCGAGAGGGACCCGGCAGAGCTGCTTGCTAGAGCTTCCCCGGGTCCTCCTCTCCTCTCCCTACCTAGCCAGCGACCACTTGTTATTGCTAGAGGGCTGGTGAGGGAGATCTTTGATCTACCCACCGGCCCATAAAGACACAGAGCAGGGCTGGCGCTCTGACAGTGTCGGCCCTGCACGGACCGGCCGGGGAGATCTTGTGATCTCCCCAGCCCATCAGTTTGCCTGTAGATTATCTATGCAAGCGCATACACTTAAAGTGTAGTTTGTAAAAGGTGTTGTATTAAAATACCATTAATAATACAATATAAACACTCTGGTCCATCTACTTTAACAAATATTTATTCAGAGACAAACTCAGCGATATATAAATAAACGGCACAAAAACTAACTAGAGCAACAAATCCAGTACCTATAACTAAGTACATAACACACAGTAACATACAAGTAAATGGCATATGAACTAAATAAAGCAACAGACCCACTATTTACAAAGAAGCACATAAAGCCCCCTGAGACCTTAAACACAACAAGACTCCATTATACACCAAGAGCTTTCCATGATGACACACAGGAATGGAGAGATAGCACAGCAGGAGGTGTGCAGGTATATTTAACCCCTGCCCTGTGACCTCACTAAATGTGTTGTCGGAGTTTAGCTCATTAACATATGAGAAGCTAAGTAGTCTGAAGCAAGAGGACCCATATCCTTAGTCATAATATTTGTGACAAGAGGTCATTGTATAAAGTAGTGTGATATATTTATTGTCTATATAGTGTGTGTGTTCATATATTGCTTTCTGTACATGCCCAAACCACGTAAGGGTATTGTGATGTATATATTTGAATTCTTGCAACATGGGGAACATTGTATTTCTGAAGACTAAGACTGGCAGGTGGGTATATTGGAAAAATAATGCAGCATTTTTGTGAGTGTTATAAAAAGGCGCACGGCTGGCGTCACTGGAACGCATTCCGTATGATGCGTGCGTTCCACTGTGGGAATTTGGTATCTCCGCGAAAGTTGCGGTTTTCAAAAGGAGGTCCTGAGCATGAGCAGAGCTAGCAATTGAACAGAATGTATGCTCTTCTATAGAGCTTCAGGTTAATTAAAATGAAATTATTGAGATATAAGTAAGACTAGGCTGATTGACTGTTTGTAGAGAAAAGTAATATACACAGTGAATTGATATGTGTGGTAGCGTAACCGCTACAAACCACCTGAGTGGGAACCCCTTATATCACTCTAAAGAATTAACATAAAATACATACAATACGTGGATCACGCGTCTGATGTCTCTGAAATAAGACAAAATAATAGTACAGTATTGCCAGTACAAACAATGTATAGATCTATAGGGTATCAAGCACTCACAAGCCTGGAGCCAAGTATAAACATATGGCTCTCATGGGTAGCACAGAGGGATTCTTAATAGGATGTCCCCATTCTTCTTTCAGTTGTTCTTGCACGATCTTTAGGACTTCTGGAGTAAAGGCAAATTGAACTGCTCAATTTCCAAAAATAGACTTTATTGAATGGAGTAAAATCAATGAAATGCACTATGTGCAATAAAATAGATAAAAAAAATAAATGAGGAATTGGAAAATGTTCAATTAAGTCTATTTGGTTCAATGAAGGTTCTGCCTGGTGGCTGATGGGTTCTGAACGTGTTTCACCCTATGGTAGCGCTTCCTCAGTCATTGTGTAGTATGGGGGGGCTCCTGTGGAGTCCATTTAAACCGCCTCATGAATACGTCCGGGTTTGGCTGTGTGCATATGGAACGCAATATGCGTTCCAATGCATACGTTGCGTGCTCCATTTCCGGGTCGAGTAGCCTGTGTCAATAGGGCGCATGGTTGGCGTCACTGGAACGCACGCCGTATGACGCGTGCGTTCCACTGTGGGAATTTGGTATCTCCGCGAAAGTTGCAGTTTACATTCATAATACAATAGTATATACAGTCCAAAATTTGGCGTATTTTATGCACATCTGAACTAGCAGTATTTAGTATAAATTAAATAACTTTTGTTAAAAAGATGATTACACTATCTCAATCTAAATGTCAGTCTAAGGATATTGGTAAATAAGAACTCCTATTTCTGAGAAAAAGATAGAAACAACTATAAATAGTTTATTCTCCCTCTAATTGAATTATTATTTTTAAACAATATTAAACGAAGAAATGTAGATGACATTTCATAATGTGAACATTCTATAATGTATTCCTTAGTGTGGAAATATATGAATACTGGTCCTAAATTAAAAGGACCATATATCTGAGTAGGAAATAAGACATTTAAAAAAAAAAAATCTTTGTAACGGATCACCTGGCACCCCGACTGGGTACCTCCATTGAAGGATGCTCCTAGCGCTTCCTGAGGACTCCAAGCACTGCAGCAGACACCACAACCACCGAAGCATACGAATGCTCTCAAGCATATGAATGCTGTAAGCAGCTGAACAGGAAAAGCATACAATCAGCTTACACTCCTGGCAATCAGCATACAATCCAATTCCCCCAATAACAAGACGACACTTCGTTTTGAGGTCAAGCAGAACTGACTGTACTGGCACATACAGCCTCTTTTATTCCCAATCCACAAACTAAGTACTGCCCACAGGGTTTTACAGAACAACCAATAACACACGTATATTACAGAAAACACTCCCAGCAATTATACACAAAATCCTCCCCCTGCCTGTGATCTAATTATGGCACACAATGGGTTAACATAATTATCACAAGCAGGAAAAATACAGTTTCATAAAACACATCACAGGGACCCCAAAACTTGCAATAACCCCATAAAAAGTATATCCTTGGAACCGGGGGATCTGGGTGAACCACATATCCAAAATTCACCCAGATCCGTTCAGTACTTTGGAAGATACAGTTTAATGCAGATTCTACAGAACATATGCAGGCTATATGAAAAACAATTACTGTATAAGGTGTCCCCTGTTGTATAGTCCAAAACCACTGCACGATGTCTCTGTGCACCAAATACTGGCGAGATGGCACAGTGTTGGAAAGTCCAAACAGTGTCTGTGAGTTAAAATGGCCGCCATCCATTGTTCTCACCATGTGCTTCATCCATTGTTCTCACCATGTGCCTCTGATACAGGAAATGGTGGCCACCCAGTAACTCCACAGTATGTCCCCAGATGGTTCTTAAAGGGCCAGCAGCAGCACAATACAAATCCATTGTGCCCAAATCATGTCTTTAAAGGGCAATACATCCCAGGGCAGGAGGCTGGCAATCAGTCTTCTCCAATGCCCAGTGGCGAGGCCGGTTTTGCCACAATATTTAATAGAGAAGTGGGGATATTCCATAATGGGAATGTTTTATCATGTGTCTCTTGGTGTAGGAGTACATGAGTGTTGGTCCTAAATTTAAAGGGACCTTAGAGAATAGGAGACCTTTAGTGATAGTACATATTAACCAGAATTCTTTAGAATATTCTACACAAAAAACATAATACACAAGGCCATTCCATAATAATCATAAAATATTTACAAGAGAGATTAACAATTATATAATGTGCCATCTAGGTCATGCATCAAACACCTGTTTTAACACCTTAATGTGAGAAAGTGAATAAATAAACGTTTGTTCACTAAAATATCTGGTGTGGATTTTATTATATAAAATCTTGTGTTATATTTTTAAAAGATCGGTATAATTAAAAGAAATGTCAGATCTCGAAGTCTGAATTTAAATCGTGGGGAATAAGGGTGTTAAAATTATTTGACTGACAGGTTACATAGCATGGGAAAACCCTTATAAGGGCTTTTCCCACCATTCAAGCTTGGTGTGTGAGGATCACTCAATGGGCTAACATGGATTTTCACAGGAGGGTGGGGTGGACAACGGCATATCTACCCCTTCTATTTAATTATTAATTGCCCTCATCTGCCACCTGTGGGTGGAGTCTAGGTCCAAGATATAATTATTTTTTTCCCACTGCAGGGGGGGACATTCGGCATCTCGGGTTAATATAATAATAGCCTACCTGTTCTGTCCATCCCCATTTTTTAATATGAAGTACCTGCTCAATTTCCATTGGTGGGAGCATGAGGAGGAAAATCTGTCAGGTCCTTCCTGAATGTTAAACAATGACTGGTTAGCAATAAAACCAGTCACTAGTATTTTATAACAGCGAGCAGCCAGTGGTGGCTCGCTACTTAGCAGACATGGCCACTTTTGACATGGTGAGTGGGGGCATAAGGGAGGTAATAAACGTCCTTTAGACTAATGTGAGCATCATATTGACCTTCACTAGCAGAAGGATGTGTTAAAGCAGTATTTGAGAATGTATATCAGTTTGTCTTAGCTGCATTTCATGCAAAGACTGCGTATATAAACCATCAGTTGTCATTGTTTCCAGAGATTGTGTAATCTGAGAAAGCTACATGGTGATATAACGAGTCACTGATAACTTTGGTTTTCTTCCTGTAATGCCACCTTCTTCATATATTACACAGAAGAGAAATAATTCAGTTACAAAAGGAAACTTATCAAGAGTGTTCATGAGTGTAGTGTAGTAATTGATTCAAAATGTATTATATTCACCTTTTTCAGAGTGAAGAATGTTTTTAGATTCTTAACAAACAGCAACATAAGTGAGAAAGAAGTGTTACCTTTTACTGACCAGGAATTAATACTAGATTGATTCTTGGCAATGAGTTTAGTCTGTTCCAAATTATATTTATGTTAGAGTTCAATATCCAAAACAAATTCCTGGTTAACAAACGGCTATATGTAAAAAAAAAAAAAAAAATAGTAACAGATCCCTTATAAATCTAGTAAACAGACCATGGGTGCATTAGTACAGATGAGTATCTGATAGAACAAGGTTAAGATCAAAAACAGAAAGGCCAACACTGGTTTATTAGCATGATTTTATCATTAAGATTAGTATACTGATTGGGAAGATATCTTCATGGCCACTGTGTAATCCATAAATAACAGGCATAGAAATCACTTCTTCATGTATATCTAACTCCTGTCAAACATTTTAGAGTTAAAAGGAACACTACAGCATTAGGTATACAAAAAAAATACTGTGTTTGAAATGCTATAGTGTCCATATCCCTTTTACTGTAAGTCTAACGACACTTTTAAACACTTACCTCTTTCCAAAACAGAGGGACCTCTGTGCTGAATTGGTCTTCTCCTTCCTTGATGTCACACAGATGGGGGAACTTAATGCGCATGAGCAGCGAGTGCAATAGACCTTCTCCATGAATCAATGCATTCCTATTGGGACTTTGAAGACACTGGACGTCCTCATCCATTGAGAGGGAATGTCCAACACAGTTTCATAGAGTTATACTCACTTTGAACAGGAAGCACCTCTAGTGGCTGTTTAATAGACAGTCACTAGAAATTGCCTTAGTTCTGCAATGAAAACATTGCAGTTTCTCTGAAACTTAAATGTTTTACATTGCAGGGCTAAGGACACTACAGATAGACCAATTCAATTAGATTAAATTGCCTAGATGTTTATAGTGTCCCTTTATTAATCTCACATTATTTGTTGTTAAAAGCATTATCAAAGTGCATCCATATCAGCATGTGTGGTATTTCTGCCTCCCCATGTGACTTTTTTGGCAAAAATAAAATAAAATATTGCGGACCATCTATCCTGCATATTGCAGCTCCTATTACCAGAGTGCAGCTCATATAAGTACAAAATAAATAAGGTAGCTGCTAAAGTGGTCTTGTCACTTTGGTAATAAGGTTATTGCTGAACTCTGAGGAGCTTCTGACATCAGCTACAGTGTTCAGGAAAACAAGAAGGCAATGGTGATAGATAAACAAACTGTTATCCTCCACAATACAATAAAAAGGTTGTGTTACACAACATGGATTTTATATACTATCCTGACTTTTCAATACCCTTACTAAAACACCCCCCCCCCATTTGTTTTTGTTACCAATTGTAAGAATGACATTACCTTAAGCTGTAGTGGTTCGGTAGCAATTCCCAACACTGTTTTAATATTAGATTCTCTATATGATATCAGCAACTCAGTAAAGGGCAGCATGTTGACACAATAAAATAATATATTGGTAAAACATTAAGTGCTGGATTACGAGACTGCTGCTCTACTTCAATGACCATACCAACACTGAAATGGTTCGTTTTAGAACAAAAAAAATAGTGCCTTATACATTAGTGCCTATATGTTGATGTGACAAAAGGACAAAACAAACAGTCTCACATTGCACCACAGGAATACTTTCATTTTTTTTTTTTTTAAATCCATTACCCATCAGATTTGTGGTTAGAATTTTTTATATTTTCTAGATACACACGCAGCATATTATACCATAATTGCATTCCAACTATGAACACACAAAGGAAACAATTCAGAGAGCCGGCTCTTTTAAGCTGCTAGGTCACTTTCACAGGAGATTTCAAAAACTGATTAGTAAAACACTACAAATGTTTGGATACTGCTGTCCTCATGCTTTTATACATTCATTGAAAAACTATTTTGTTCGTGTTGCCAAATGTTCTCGAGCAGAAGAATTAAGTCCAAGCATTGTCTCACTTGCCTCCCAAAGTTTTTTGGCTACACCAGCATCCTGCACATGTGGACGCAATTTACAGGGCTTACAATCTGAGAAGTAGCCACCATTATGTTGGAGAATATCGTCTGACACTGCGCAATGTATTACAGTCTGAGCGCCCGCCTCGCAGGATATAAAAAACATGGACATAAAAACGTACATCACTATCCTGAAGAGAAAAGAAAATTGCAGTGTCCAGTTCCCAACAACATAACCTGTAGGAATGAAAGAAACAGGTTTAAGAATCTTCATTCTTAATAATGTATAGCAATATAGGACTTCTTGTAAACAGATAACAATACTATACAAAAATGTCACACCTAATACAAAATCAGTCAGACCAGGAAAAGATAAGGGTTTGTCTTTCCTGGAACCTTTTCTCGACAAATATTCTGACATAATGGATATTTTAATCTTTCAAACCACCTGCATTTTTCAAACACTAATGCAAATATAAAAAAAAAAAAAAGTGAACTTGAGACTGTATGCTTGAACATACACCTGAAGGAGGTGCATCCCACGATAACTAAATATGTTACCGTAAAGTCTGGCATTAAAATCAGTTAAAAGCATGCCGTCAGCATTATGTAACATTTCCAGAAAGAGCTAGCCAATACAAATCTTCTGACCTGGATGAACAGCACATACGAACACTCCATGTCGTTCAGCCTGTCGGGCCAGCTCCTGGGTGAAGTAGACATTTGCCAACTTGCTGCGACAATATGTGAAAAGTGGGACTATATTATAGTTTAAATCCGTAAAGTCCAGCTTCTGATACTTGTGAACGTTGGAGGTCACTGTGATAACACGGCTTGGAGCACAACCTTTGAGACGCTCAAGCAAAAGATTTGTGAGTAGAAAAGGACCCAGATGGTTAACCCCAAAACACATACTGAAACCATTCTCTGTCCAGTCCAATACTGCCGGCACACCTGTAAATGACAGCATTAGTTCGTTACCGGTCTATGTAAGGGATTTAAATCATACGATTAATATTAACCTAGTCCTCTCATTAAAGGACACTCTAATCACCATAACTAATACAGCACAATATAATCATTATGATTCCTGGAGTTCTCTGGCGCCATGCTTTGGTTAAAGAAACAACCAGGTATTAGAAATCATTATGTTTATTTACTAAAGTGAGTGTTCAAAGCAAATTTAACATGTATGGCCATAGTAGCCAAACTGAAAGCATAGCTGACAGAAAATATTTCCAGTTTGGCTATTTTGACTTTATAAGAAATTGAAATTCAAATGGAGTTCACTTCGAATTCTCACCTTTAGTAAATAACCCTTATTTATTTGTTATACGGAGTGTTCTATTATATAATTAAATTTCAGGGTCTTCCCGTATGTTAAAATTAAAGCAGGTATTTACATTTAATTCAGCAGCCTGATGGACACCTCATGACCGCTTTTCTCCATCATTAAGAGATCTTCTTTAGACAGTGCATTAGGTCATTTAGAAAATGAATATTGCCAAAGCAGAAGGTGAACTTACTCTTTAGCAATAACTGAAGAGCCCAGACCACATGCATCCTAAGGACTCAGATAAGCGTCAAACCATTTGAAAACAGTTTGACTCTTACCAGTGGGATGGCACCAGGTGACTCCTTGTACCATAACCAATACATCATGCTGTAGTGCTTATGGTGTTTTGA